GGGGTCGCCCGCTTCGGACCGCTGCACTTCGAGCGCCGGGCCCGGTTCGAGGTGGCCGACGAGGACAAGCAGTCCCGGCTGCGCTACCAGGTGAATGGCCTGGCCCACCTCGCCCCCCGCCCCGTAGGGCGGCACCCCAGGCAGGACCCAGAGAGCCCCGTCTCTGGGGAGAATCTGCCTGGAGACCCCAGACGGAGCGGGAGACCACCCGGACGCGACCCCCGATCCAGAGCCCTGCCCAGACTCTCCCAGCTGAGACTTTAGTCTCCAGCCAGCACTGGCGAGCCCGGACCCGGGGGCTCATCTCCCACTCGCGGGTGGAGATCCCACCTGGAGTCCCCAGCCACCCTGGGCACTGACCCCTCCTACCCACCACTGGGCTCCTTGCTCATATTCAGTAGCACCCCTTCAGTCTCAGGCCACACGATCTAATGGGAACCTCCATCCCCTTCCTCAGTTGTGAGAGTCCACACCCCATCCTTCCCCCACAGCTGGAAGGCCCCCCCCTCAAGAGGAGTCCTTGCCCACCTCTCGACTCCCACTAAACAGGGAATCCCCATTTTCCCTGGAGACCTCCACCAACCCCAGCATCCTTTTCCTGGAGACCTGGACCAGATATCTGTGACCCAAACCTGAGAACCCTAAGCCTGCCCAAACCCGGCACCCCAAAACCAGAGCCCCTGCTCTGGACCCCTGAAATACCATCCTGAGAGCTTCACCCTGACTCCCAAACTTGGGAGAGCTCCTGGCCCTGGTACCTATGCTGGGAGACCTCACCCAGCCCTGGCAGCCCCTGCACCCAAAGCCCCCAGGCCCTCCTCCCACCTGGTTTCGGTTTCTGTGAGTCACTAAACCCGTTCTGCTGGGAGGGCGGGGCGAGGGCAGCTGGTGAGCAGCTGTCAGGCTGGCAAACAGCTGTGTGGACCTGCCTTCCTCCCCTCACCCCCTAGAGGGGAGTGGGTAAGGGATTGAGCCCAGCAACCTCCCTGAGCCCTGTGTTCTGGAATAGAACCTGGAGAATGATGAGGATGGAGCCCAGGCCTCTCCGGAACCAGATGGGGGAGTCAACACCAGGTCAGGACCAGGTGGGGACCCACCCTGCATCCCAGCCCTGCGCCTCTGGCTCCTGTCCTTCCAGGGACCCCACCCAGCCCCACACCCCACCTCAGCTCCCTCACATCCTGTCCTGCACCGGGTCCCACTCCCCTCATGGGACCCCCGTCCTATGAGATCACCCTACCCTAGTCCCCAGCCTTTGCACCCCCACCCCCACCAAGCCCCCTATCCTGAAGGAACCCCTAGCCCTAGCCCCCAGCCTCCTGCAACCCCTGGTCCTGTAGACACCTCCAGCCCTTGAATTCATCCTAGCAACATCTCTCAAGGTCCCTTCTGCAGGGACACCCTGCCCCAGTCCCTGCTCTATCCCAACACTCCGTTCTGACTGCTGTGCTGCAGAGGCGGGACGCCCCAGAGGCCCCTCCTGGCCTCCCTGTCCCCTCACTGGGGCCTCTGCCCTGCAGGGACTCGGCGCGAACATCCACCCGCAGCTCACAATGGTCTTTCAGCACTGTCAGCAGCAGCACCCAGCACTCCTACAGCGCCTGCTGCAGGTGAGGCCTGGCCCTGCCCCAGCCCCTGAGCCCCCTGCCCACCCAGCGCGTGCGGCCCGGGCTTCCCCACCCCCTCCCCGTGCCCCTTGCACAGCCATCCTGCTTTCCTGCCCACCAGCTGGATCCAGCACCCTCTGATCCAGAAGAACCGCCGGGTAGTACTGACCTCCTTCCTGCTCCTGCTGCTGGGGCTGGGTGAGTGCCCTGGGCCCCCCTGCCACCCCACAGGGGCCCACCCTCCTTGTATGCAGGCTCTGAGTCGTCCTGGGTGCCCTGAGCCTCCCAGCATCCCAGGGAGGCAGCTGGCATCACCATTTTAAGGGTGAGGAAACTGAGGCCTTGAGAGGGCCAGGCCCTGGCTCCTGATCACACAGCCAGGAAACCAAATGTAACTGGAAATGGGACCTGGCTCAGCTCCAAAGAGCCATGGACTTTTCCTTTTTTTTTTAACTTAGCTTATTTATCATTCAGCCAGCACAATATCCTGAGCACCTGCTGTATTCCAGGCCCTGTTTCAGCCCTGGGGATACAGCGGAGAAAAGAACAGATAGAGACAGAGAATGGTCCTTGCCCTCAGGGAGCTTTCTTTCCAGTTCACCTTGTGATTGATTAGACTGCTGTAGACACAAGGGCTTACAGAGGACAGATAAGTAATAACTAGAAGAACGAACACATCAGTCTTGGAGGAAGTACAGCCAGAATGCTCCTTGGAAGCAAGGATGGCGAGACTCCGTCTCACATACTTTGGACATGTCATCAGGAGGGACCAGTCCCTGGAGAAGGACATCATGCTTTGTAAGGTAGGGGGTCAGGGAAAAAGAACAAGACCCTCAACGAGATGGATTGACACAGCGGTTGCAACAACGGG